CTCTGTTGGTAGGTCCATCTCCTGGAGAAAATTATCTTGTGCGAATCCTTGGTTCTCATCGGGTTGGCGGCATGTTGGGGGAAGAAAGTATCGCCACGATACCCGTGTAAGAGGTCCATCGGGCTGAGAGCTTCCGTGGAGTCGAGACCGGATGCGACGGTTGTGATGGGGCGTTTATTTATCATCAACTCGATGTTGCTCAGAATAACCTCGAGGTCCCGAAAATGGGGAACCGATGTTCCGAGAACTTTTCTCAAAGGACGCTTGACTGATTGGACGAGACGCTCGTAGAAACCGCCATGGGAAGGAGCGTTCGGGGTAATGAAGTTCCATCTGATGAATTTGTCTGCGAGCCATTTCTTGATTTCACCGTCGATGATGTGTTCGTAAAGGAGTTTGAGTTCCTTTGCTGTCCTCTGAAACGATAAGCCATTGTCTGACGTGATCGTGGTCACCGACGGGTATCGGTTCACGAATTTCTGTAGAGCTCCGAGGACCTCTGAGGTCGACATGTCGGTTGTTAGCTCGAGATGGATTGCTCGGGTTACTGCGCACACGAATAGGAGAATGTAGCTTTTCGCTCTCTTGCCCGAGTCATTCTTGTATTTTATGGGCCCGGCGAAGTCACAGCCTGTGTGATGGAATGGTGGGGCCGTCTCCAGCCTGAATGCTGGCAACGGAGCCATTGGTAGGCTTGCGGCCTGGCCGTGGAAAATTTTGCATGTAGCGCAAGAAGAGATGACCTGTCTCGCTAGTTTTCTTGCGTGGATGATGAGGAATTCCTCCCTGAGGATGTGCAGAAGGTTGGAGATTCCGCCGAAGTGTAGGCATTTTTTCTCGTGGATGTATCTGATAATAAGCCTGGAGAGATTACAATCTGCTGGGAGGATGATCGGGAATTTCTGCTCTTGCGACAGATCCGGAGCGAATTCCAAACGAGACCTGCATCGGAGGATTCCGTCATCGTCCTTGAATGGGTTGTACTGGTAAAGAAGGCTCTTGGGTCTGACCCTGGTGTTGTCCGAACTAACTCCCTCAGGAAAAGATTCCTGTTGAATAAGTTTGATGAGACTCAGCCTGGCTGATGTCATCTCTGCTGCGTCGATTGTATTCAGTTTGCCCTTTGCCCTCGCGGTACACCTCGAATTGGTCTGGATTCTCAATCGTGCCGCGGAGGCCTTCTCTTTTAAGCGAAGCATGAATGCCCAGAAACGAATAGCTTTCAACCAACAGGAGAAACTACCTTCGAAAAATATTCGTTGTTTCGGATTTTCGCTCGAGGCGTTCAGCAGTGAGACGATGCCGTTCTTCATCTCGTGTCGGATTTCGTCTCGACTCTCGTTGTTTCTGCGCGGCCTGGCCGCTCGATCGAATTCCATCTTTCTTTCTAACTCTGAGTTGGCGAGACGCAGCCACTGTGGCCCGTTGAACCACAAGTCGGCGATTGATCTTTTCGAGATGTCTGCGCCTCGAGATAAAATATCTGCAGGGTTCTCTTCTGAACGCACGTAGTGCCATTCAGTGTCGCCCACGAGGTGTCGGATTTTTCTTATTCTATTGGCAACGTAGGGTTTCCATTTGTCCGGATTGGAGGACACCCATCCGAGGACGGCAGAATTGTCGCAGAATAATTCCACCCCGTCGATTCTGAAGTCGACCCAATCGATGATTTTCTTGGTCATTCTGGCTGCCAGGAGAGCTCCCAAGAGCTCCAGCCGGTGGATGGTTGAGGGTTTGACCGGAGCGACTTTCGCTTTGGACAGAACGAATGAGATTTTGGGCTTTTGATCGGCGTTTTCTCCTCTGAGATATGCGACCATGCCGTGAGCGTGTAAGCTGGCATCGGAGAAGATGAACAGTTTTCTCTTGGAGTGTGTATCCGGTGACAGCATTTGACGAGGTATGTTCAGTAGCTCGGCCTGGCCGACCAGCTCTCTGAAAGCAGTGAAACGTTCGAGTGGGTTGCCCTGTAGGGGATCATCCCATCCTAATTTCAACTTCCATAGATCCTGGAAGAGGGTCTTCGAGTTGATGGTGATCGGGGTGATGATGCCCAGAGGGTCGAAAATTTGAGCTAGCGCTCTCAGCAGTTTCCGCTTGGATGGCGAGCCCTCTGAGAGCTCCTTGAGGGCTTCCGAAGTTGGTGCGGTGATATAGTCCTGGACTTGATTCCATGTTATTCCGAGGACTTTCGCGTTTGTTTGACCGGTAGTGATTTCTGGATCCTTGATCGGAGAGATTTTCTTGATGAGACTCCCGATTTCCAAGGAGTTCGTTGACCATTTCTTCAAGGGGAAGTGGCCCTCCGTGAAGATATCCGATAGGAGCTTGATTCGGTGTTTCACTTCCTTAATCGTGGACCCTCCCGATATGATGTCGTCCATGTAGAAGTGATTCATGATTTCCTCGAGGAAGGGCGCGTCATTTGGGTTGTCCCTCATTGCTGACTCGAGGTGGAATCTGATTCCTTGACAGTGTAGGAACGGTGAGCATATTAAGCCGAAATCCAGCCTGGCTGTGTAGAACTCCTGGATCCTAGCGGAACTGTTGTCGTTGATGCCCAAAGGCCAGAGAAATCTCAGGAAGTTCTTGTCGCTGTCAGCGATCCTGAATTGGAGGAACGCTTTCTCGATATCCGCCGTGAAGGCGTATTTGTATTGCCGGAACTTGAGTAGAACTTTCGTGATTTCCGGAAGTAGATTGATACCGCAGTGGAGGACATCGTTGAGGCCGGCTTCGTTGGTGCGCCTAGCGCTCGCGTCTTTTACCACTCTGGTTTTCGTTCCCAATGGGGAATCAGGTTTCGCTTTGAAGACCGCTTGTATGGGTAGGTAGTGGGACAGTTGGCCCGCCTTCTTTGGTTGAGCTTTCTCCGCGAATCCTGCCTCTAAGTAGCCCTTAATTTCTTCATCGACCGCCTTCAACTTGATTGGATCTTTCTTGAGCTTCTCTAAGAAGGAGTGAAGGCGTGACCTGGCCAGGTTTTGATTGTCACCTAATGACCTGATGTTCGATTTGAAAGGCAGCTTGAGGACGTACCTTCCGTTCTCATCTCGGAAGGTCGTTTTTCTGAAATGGTCGATGAGTGCCTTGTTGAGGCTATCTTCCTCCTCCTGGGATTCATCTCTGAGATCATCTTCGAAACCGACGTCTTCGGATTGCCATAGGAATTGAAGATCTTTCATTGTTTGAGCTGCTTTTTCGTTGGGTTTATCTTTCGGTGGATCCGACTCCGGTATGACGAGCTGCTCGTTCTGATTAGTTGGTAGAATCGAGGCGGGTTGAATGGTATCAAAACCACAGAAGCGAGTGAGTGGCGATTTGAAAGTGGATGCTCGCTGCGAGCCTCCGAATACGTAGCCGAAAATCGAATTGAAGGCGAATGTATCGTCGAATGATTGGGGGTCCGCGAAGTTGATCTTTGTGAAATGATCTTGACCCAGGAGGTCGTCCACCAATCCATCTCCGTGTTCCGGCAGACTGTCTGCAGCTGGTGTGAGCTCAGGAGCGTGTTCCATCACTGGGAACTCTGATCTTGAAACGCAGTCTAGTTCGATGGCTCTGAGCCTCACGGCTAGGTTTTCTTGATGCCTGCTTCGAAGTGTAATCTCGTGAATTCCGCAATTATAAATATTGGTCACTTGTCCTCCTGCCGTGGCCATCGTGAGGTCTGTGTGGGCGACAGGTTTTGATTTCAGTTTCTCCACCAGATTCCTCGTGATGTGAGTGGCCTGAGATCCTGGATCGATGAGGATGCGGCACGGGATTCTGGTGTTTCCGGCTTCCGCCCATGCGAGCGCCGTCCATAGGAAAATTGAGTTTCCGAGTGTGTCGAGGTTGATGTTTGTTGACACGCTGCGTGGTGGCTTCCCGTTCTGATTCTTGAAGGCTTTCGGGCAGATGATGGCATAATGTGATGCGTTGCAATATCGGCATTCCGTTTTGGGTCCCTCTCTGCAGTGCTTGGCGTCGTGGTTCAGTTTCAAACATTTGAAGCACGCTCTTGCTGCAAGCATTCTCTCCTGACGCTCTTCGAAGGTCAGCGGAGCTTGACATCTGAATGCGGGGTGGTCTCCCTGACAGAATAAGCACGGGGCGGTCTGACCCTTGGGAGGTTCCCTGGGAACATGTCGGTGAGCGAAGGTCGAAGAGCTTACGTGAAAGCTGTTCGAGCTGTCTTTAAAGGAATGGAAGGCTGGCTTGTACGGAGGGGTGTTCCGTGAGTGTTGGAACGGAGGTCGCTGAGATGGGCCTCGATGGTGATCATTCTCCCTGCTTCTGGAGCTTGTGTTCCCAGGAGACGAATTCCATGTCGATCCTTGGCTCGATCTTAAAGTTTCTGTCGTTAGTGCTTCCGCCCTGAGGAAGGTCATCAACGCCTCCAGCTTGCATGTTTGTGTGGAGGTTTGTGTGTGCCTGAAAGAATCCATGAATTTTCTCTGTGTGTCGTTTGTTAGCTTAGCGAGAATTCTGTTAGCGAAGGCTGGAGTTAGAGTTACGTATGATTGCCCGAGAGTGATGAGTGCCAATATGTGTTAGAGATCGAGTTTACAAAATTGGGTAACTTATCGTAGCTGATTTCCCCTTTTGACGACAGGATTCTTTCGAGTTCTCTCAAATGGCTGTCTTCTGCCATGTTTGTTTGGCCGAAAAGCTCCTGGAGCATCTGTTTCATGGGCTCATAGCTCTCCGCATTGAGGCTGAAGTGTCTCACGCTATGGTATGCTCGTCCGGTCAGCGCGTCGTGTAACAGAAGAATCTTCTGGAGCGTTGGTATCTGCCGTTCATGAACGAAAGCGTTAAACATGTCCATAAACTTTCTGAATTGTTTGGGGTCACCATTGAATTTGGGTAATTTGAAATTCTTGGATAATTTCGGGAGATAATTATCAGGGTTCTCAGCCTGGCTGCTTCCGGATTGAGTTGCAGTTGTCATTGGGTGCTCGGGTGGACGCTGCGCTTCCGGGGCGCGGAGCGGTTGTTGAGCTCCTGAAGCATTCGATGGTTGTAGAGCCTGGGGTAGACTGGGTGACTCCTCCGCAGGGGGCGGTAATTGTGCAATGTGTGAAACGAATGGCGTTGACATGCTGGTGAATTCGCCGCTTTCTGCCGGAGCTCTCGCTTGTTCTTCGATTTGGGTTGAAGCTCTCCACTGTGGGGCGCTGAGGGGAGCTCTTGGCGGTTCCCGAGTGGGGTCGCTGCCTCGAGTGGATTGGTCAAATGATGAGTCTACCGTGTGAGGCGACAGGCAGTTGACCAAGTATTGTCCGAGGTTTCTCAGATATCTTAAAGAGCATCGGATTTGTTCCTCGATTAAGATGAAGTTTTCGAAGTAACTTTGAGAGTTCGGCCTCTGAGGCTGTCTTACTTGGGTCCGAGACGCCGATAGCCACTCTGTCAGTAGGCCGTTGAGAGTCTCTCTGTAGTCGTCGACCTGGTCGAGGGAATCCCTTTTGTCACTGTTCTCGTTGTAGAACGTGCAGGCCTTGCTATTGAAGTATGTCACTCTTGATTTAAGGAACTCCAACTCATCTGGGTCCA